TTTTTTTAAGATAGGGTTTCACCTTGTTGGTCAGGCTGGTCTTGTACTCCCGACCTCAGGTGATCCGCCTGCCTTGGCCTCCAAAGTGCTTGAATTACAGGCGTGAGCCACCATGCCCGGCTGAAGAGTCTACCTTTTATCCATATCCTCTCCCATCTAACTCTTCTTAGAGGGAAACAGAATTATATCATTTTGTTTTTTGAGACGAAGTCTCACTCTGTCACCCAGGCTGGAGTGTAGTGGCCCATTCTCAGCTCACTGCAATCTCTGCCTCCTGAGCTTAAGTCATTCTCCTGCCTCAGCCTCCCAAGTATCTGGGTTTACAGGTGCATGCTACCACACCTGGCTAATTTTTGTATTTTTAGTAGAGATGGGGTTTCACCATGCTGGCCAGGCTGGTCTTGCACTCCTGACCTCAAATGATCTGCCTGCCTCAGCCTCCCAAAGTGCTGGGATTACAGGAGTGAGCCATCAAGCCCGGCCACATTTCTTAATGTATCCATCAAGAGCTATTCTATGATGTACAAGCAATTGTAAGTATGTATTGTTTAAATGCTTTATTATGGATAATTTATGCAGTATTCAGAAGTTGGGATAAGTATAATAAACCTCCATCACCTAGCTTCAGTGACTTTTTTTTCCTTTGTAAGCTATGTCCTACAGGAAAGAGCTTCAACAATTTTTTTTTTTTTTTTTTTGAGACAGAGTCACTCAGGCTAGAGTGTAGAGTGGCATGATCTTGGCTCCCTGCAGCCTCTGCCTTCCCGGTTCAAGCAATTCTCATGCCTCAACCACCCAAGTAGCTAGACTATAGTCATGTGCCACCATGCCCAGCTAATTTTTGTACTTTTAGTAGAGACGGAGTTTCACCATGTTGGCCAGGCTGGTCTCAAACTCCTGGCCGAAAGTGACCCGCCTGCCTAAGCCCCTCAAGGTGCTGGGAATACAGGTATGAGCCACCACACCAGTCAACAGTTTTTAACACATAGCCAATTTTATTTCATTTATATCTCTCAACTGTAATATTTTGTGACAATTTTGGACATTATATCATTTTATTCATTATTCTTAATATGTGTCTCTAGCAAATACAAGTTCTTATTTTGTTTCTTTGTTTTAACAATTACAATACCATTATATTAATAATTACCAAATATCGATTTAGTATTTATCTTCTCCAATTATCTCAAAAAAAAGTTTTTTCTTTTTAAAAATTATGATTTAAGCAAGGACCAGACCTTATATTTGGCTACTATGGCTTTTTAAAAAAATTATTGAGGTATAATTCACATATCATAAAATTCACCCTATAAAGTGTACAACTCAGTGGTTTATATATTTAAAAAAATCTGTTGACCATAAATATGGGTTTATTTCTGGACTCTCTTGATCACTAAAGCTTTGGAGTAAGTTTTGAAATTGGGAAGTATGAGTCTTCTAACTTGGCTCCTCTTTTTCAAGATTGTTTTGGCTATTTGGAGTCTCTTGCATTTCCATATGAATTTTGGGATCGGCTTGTTAGTTTCTGCAGAAAAGGCAGCTAGCTAAGATTTTGATACAGGAATTTTTGGAATCTGTAGATAATTTTGGCAATATTGCCATTTTATATCATCTTAACGATAGGCTAATATACCTTTTAATTTGAATTTAATCTCTAAGTTCTTTCTGAATTTATATTTTGTTTTCTTTGTATTTTATTTGTGGAGAAACTGGGTCTTTGTTCTTAAACATTCCTCAGGCTCTAGATTTAGCTGATTGCATCCCCATGCTGTTTCCTGCTACTCCTGTAAAATGGTAATTAGATCTGGAAGCTTGATCAAGTTGGTTTTTTCAGCAAGAATACATCATATATTGTTTTGATACTTTTATTATTAGTAGTATTTTAATGTAATCTACTCTATTCATTGCTTAATTCAGCAGTTATTGTACTTTGGGAATCATGGCATAATTGGACATAAAGTGCTTCCTTGTTCCTTTTTAAGGCTGTATAGTATTGTATATTGTATGGGTATGTCATAGTATATTTATCCCACTTTTTAATTGAACGCTTAGATTGTTTCCATTCTTCCCCTGTTCTGATGTTTCAGTAATAATCCTGCATGTGCATAATTTTTCACTTGCACAAATATATCAGGTTAAATGCTTTGAATTAGACTTGATAGGTCAGAGAGGATACGCATTTGTAATTTAGGTAAATATTGCCAAATCGCCCTTCAGATAAGTTATCCCAATTTATACTCAATCAGCAATTTTGGAATTTTTCACTGACATCTTTTTAATAAATAGGAAACTTGGTTAAATAGGATAAATGTATACTGCGTATGTGAATACACATACATACACAAAACTTCATAGGAATATTTTTCTTTTAATTTTTTTAGAGATGGGATCTCACTTTGTTGCTTAGGCTGTAGTGCTTTGACTTTTCACAGGTGCGATCATGGCACACTATAGCCACAAACTCCCAGGCTCAGGTGATCCTCCCACATCAGCCTCCTGAGTAGCTGGGGCTAAATGCTCCTGGCATAGGAATCTTAAGCGTATTTCCACGAGTAAACTAGTTGCCTTCTGCATGGTACTTATTTTCTGGTAGGAACTATATGAATTAATAATTGGAAAGGAAAATTTGTGTGGCTTCTTTGAACTACCTCAGGCAGACACTTGTGTTTCAGAGCCATCTTTTTGTCATTCTAAATCCCTTCTTCCTACTTCTGCATTCCTGCAACAGAAACTAGGCAGGAAGTGTCCTCCTTTGCTAGGACTTAAGGCCCCACAAAAAGGCTCCCTGAGGCTTGCTTCAGTCTTGCCCTTGGCAGTAGGAGGATTTGCCCCTTGGACTCCCAGAAGATAACCCTATGACCCTGATAGAGATTCAGGCTTCCCCCACTGAAGACTCTGAACTTAAGCACTGAGCAGAGCCAGTGAATGCACAAGTTGGCCCCATCTACTCCCAAGTCACGCATCTGTCTGAATACTAAGAACATTCTCTATTAGTAATTTTCTGTGTTAATTTGGTATGACAATGTGGTCCTGCAAATGCAGAAGTTGGCAGGAAACTTCACCAAATGGGTGAGATCAGAGGGCACCATTTTGTTCTCTTTGGACAGTTAACTGCTTTTGGAATGAAATTTGTCAGAGTTGCAATCTCTTTTCTTTCTTGAAACCTCCTAGATAATTGGGATATTTGGTCTTTTCATGTAAATTCTTCTGATGCCACAGTGGTCCAGATTCCTTGATTATATTTCTGTAGCTAACTTCCATCCTTCCGTTCGGCCAGCTCTCTACCCCCACAGGCACTCTGACTTCCATCCTTCTTTTGTGTGTAAAACAGACCTTTAAATTCCATTCATCCTTGAAACATGGTCATGTGCCACATAACGGCATTTTGCTCAATGAAGGGTGCTTATATGACAGTGGTCCCATAAAATTATGATACCATATTTTTACTGTACCTTTTCTGTGCTTACAACTACTGAGCATTGTATTACAACTGCCTACAGTATTCATACAGTAACATGCTGAACAGGTTTGTAGCCTAGGAGCAATAGGCTGTATACCATATGGCCTACATGTGTAGTAGGCTGTACCATCTAGGTTGCATAAGTACTCTATGATGTTCATAATGATAAAATTGTCTAATGATGCATTTCTCAGGTCAGATCCCCATCATTAAGCAAGGGCAATTGTACTTGATAAAATGAAATATCTCATTCAACAATTTCACATAAGTTAGTTTTCGAAGTAACTGATATATATGCCCTTATAAGGTTTTTTGGTGTTTTGTTTTTGTTTTGTTTTTGAGACAGTCTCACTCTGTCACCTAGGCTGGAGTGCAGTGGCACGATCCTCCGCCTCCCAGGCTCAAGTGATTCTCCTGCCTCAGCCACCAAGTAGCTGGGATTACAGGCATGTGCCATCACACTCGGCTAATTATTGTATTTTTAGTAGAGATGGGGTTCCCCCATGTTGGCCAGGCTGGTCTCAAACTTCTGACCTCAGATGATCCATCTGCCTCAGCCTCCCAAAGTGCTGGGATTACAGGCGTGAGCCACCACTCCTGGCCGTTTTTTTTTTTTTTTAAACAACCAAATTTTTCTAATAGAATGCTGAAAGTATCATTCTATATGGTATACATAAGTAATACAATGTATGTTTAAGTCATGATTGATGTTATGTCCCAAATGTTACGAGAGCATCACATTTTTATACCCTTTCCTCCCAAATTAGCCAACTGCAATGAAACTCTGTAAACTAACACATTTTCCTGCATTCTGACTTCTGACCCTTGTGAATGTAAGCTTGCTCTGAGCCAGACCCTGTGCTGTATGTCCTGGAAGTGGAATGGTGATAAAAGAGCTCTTGCCTTCAAGGGGCTTACAGTTAGTGGAGAATACAAACAAGCAACCCTTCTCCTCTGCCTTCTTAGAAGCTTTCATACTGGGATACTGAGATAAATGGAACTAGTCCTCCTTAGTTTAAGTGGCTTAGGATGTTCTTTGAATTTTTGTATTTGCTTTTTAAAAACATTGTCTACCCAAGCACAGCTAAGTGTTAAAAAGTTGTCTGAATTGGTAACATATGCACATAATAAAACATTTAGGCCAGGTGAGGTAGCTCATTCCTGTAATCCCAGCACTCTGGGAGGCTGAAGCAAGAAGATTACTTGAGCCTAGGAATTTAACTTGGGCAGCATAGTGAGACCTATGTTCTCAAAGAAATAAAAGAAAAGAAAAATTCAAAAGAATGTGGAAAAAAAAATTCAGAAAAAAGAAAAGAAAAAGAAAAATTCAAAAAAGTAAGTCTCCCCCATTTTCCAGCTACTTAATTCCTTTCCCCTGAGCAGCCACTGCTGCCAGTTTTTATGTATTGTTCTTAGACACTGTCATACATATACATGGGCATGTCCACTTCCCTCCCAAATTGTAACTTTCACACACTGTACTGCCTCTTGCCTTTTTCGTTTAGCACAATATCTTGGGGATCATTCAATAATAGTACACACAGAGATGCTTTCTTCTTCTTCTTCTTTCTTCTTTTCTTTTTTCTTCTTTCTTCTTCCTCTTTTTTGAAATAGCGTCTTGCTCTGTCACCCAAGTTGGAGTGCAGTTACCCAGGTTGGTGTGATCATGGCTCACTACAGCCTCAACTTCCCCAGTTCAAGTGATCCTCCCACCTCAGCCTCCTGAGTAGCTGGGACTACAGGTGTATATCACCACACCTTGCTAATTTTTAAAATTTTTTTGTAGAGGCAGTGTCTCCCTCTGTTGCCCAGACTGGCCGCAAACTCCTGGGGTCAAGTGATCCCCCTGCTTTGGCCTCCCACAGTGCAGGGATTACAGGCATGAGCCATTATGCCCAGCTACTTTATTCTTCTTAATGGTTGAATAGTAGTCCGTTACTTAACAAGCCATCTATTAATGGACATATTGGTGTCTGTAGTCTTTCACTACTGTAAACAGTGCTGCAATGAATGTTCTCTTATGAACATCATTTAAGTTTGAAGAGCATTGCCAAATTTCTCTGTACCCTCGAACAACATATGAAGTTTGCTGTTCCCAACACATTCCCTCCTAATATATTGTTTACCCCCTTATGTTTAAAATTCGTCTGTTCCTTTTTCTGTGAGCTGTTCATGTTCTCTGTTCACTTTTCTATTTAGCTGTTGGTTGTTTTTTTAACAGATTTGGAAGAACTCTTAGTATCTTAAAGAAATTTGCTTTTGTGATATTTGTTGCAAGTATTTGCTCTTGCCTTTTTTTGTAGCCTTGCTCTCACCATCTCTGCAGTCATTATCAGCTTTCATTTTACTTTTCTCCATCTTCGTGTTTTAACATTGCTTATCTTTAGCAGTTCCCTTTTCCCTTCTTAGAGTTTCTTGCACAAACAAGTAAATACATTGATCTCCTGAACTTTGTGTGGTGGCCGTTTGATATCTCTTCTAACTGCTCAGTGGTATTGTTTGCTTACTCCTGGTTTCCTATACTTGGAGCTGTGGATTCTTTTCACATTTACTTGAGATGTCTGAGTAAATGAGGTGTTAGCACATCTAAGGCATAACTCTAAAAGTTGTATGCTTGTTAGCCTGTGGCGATGAACTACGAACTCCAACCCTTACTCTGCAGTGAGCTCGGATGATCACTTTAGTATGTTATCATTTAATTCACATTTAGTTTAACATTTTCTGCCCTAAGCCACCTACAACCTTGCCAAGTGATTTGACTTTCCTCATCAGTAAGATGGGGATGATGCCTATACATCAGATTGTAGTGATTAAATAAGGCTGGAAACATTTTAGGGAAAAAGGGAAGGGCTGGAGTAGAGTTCTTAACTTTCCCTTTAGTCTTCAAGTCCTCCATTTTCTTTCTTCCTCCTTCTTTTTTTTTCCTTGAAACAGGGTCTTGCTCTGTTTTCCAGGCTGGAGTACACTGGTGCCATCATAGCCACTGTAACCCTGAATTCCTGGGCTTAAGCAATCCTTGCCTCAGCCTTATGAGTAGCTGGGACCAAAGGCACAACCATCACACCCAACTAATTTTTTTTTTTTTTTTTTGAGATGTAGTCTTGCTCTGTTGCCCAGATTGGAGTGCAGTGGTGCGATCTTGGCTCGCTGCAACCACTGCCTCCTGGATTCAAACTATTCTCCTCCCTCACTCTCCCTAGTAATTAGGATTACAGGCATGCATCACCATGCCCATTTTTTTGTTCTTTTAGTAGTGTTAGGGTTTCACTATATTGGGCAGGCAGGTCTTGAACTCCTGACCTCAAGTGATCCACCCACCTCGGCCTCCCAAAGTGCTGGGATTACAGGCATGAGCCACCGCGCTCGGCAGCGACTAATTTTTTAAAACATTTTCTTGTAGAGACAGGGACTCACTATGTTGCCCAGGCTGGTCTTAAACTCCGGACCTCAAGTGGTCCTCCCATCTCAGCCTTCCAAAGTGCTAGGATTGTAGGCATGAGCCACCATGCCCAACCAAGTCCTGCATTGTCTAGATTGAGGTCTTTGTCATTGAGATGGCAGAACAACTGTGGGTTTCCTGTAAGAGAAAGAGTCTTAGCTCCTAGGTGACATTCTGCATGGCCTTAAAATGTTACCTGATGGCCAGGCGCGGTGGCTCACGCCTGTAATCCCAGCACTTTGGGAGGCCGAGGAGGGTGGATCACGAGGTCAAGAGATAGAGACCATCCTGGTCAACATGGTGAAACCCCGTCTCTACTAAAAACTACAAAAAATTAGCGGGCATGGTGG